GGAGTGGACAGCCCCATAAAACCAAATGGGACTAATGAGGTACAGCAGTCTAGGGACAAGGGCCAGAAGGCAGAAGGGGACAAGGAAGCTGGTGATAGGGAACCCAAGGTTGAGTAAGGATACTGTTGATGTGAGGTTGTTAACCATTGTCATAGGGCAACATGTGTACTGTTAAATGAGAAACTATTTTGTTCTGTAAGCCTTCATCTAAAGTGAGAGTAGCAGCACAATTGGAAGAGCGTAGTCGATGTCACTGAACTGTGCATGTAGAAATTTTTGAAATGGTGTGTCTTTGGCTATGTGTATTTTCACCAAAAAAAAGGTTGAGAAGGGAGAGGGTTGACATGTTGTGGGGTTAACCAATGTCATAAAACAATATGTGTACTACTGTTTCATGAGAAACTATTTGTTTTGTAAGCCTTCACCTGAAGTACAATAAAAAAAAAAATTTATTTATAAATACACATACCTATAAACTTTGTAAATACATATGCATGACCATATACATGTTTATTAAAAATTCTTTTTTCCTTTTGGTTTTTTTGGTTGGCTCTTTCTTTTTTGGTTCTTCCTCTTATCTTCCCTTCGGTTGCATTTCCCTCTCTACCCCACCCCCTGCCATCTGCTAACCCACGTTAAGAAACTTGTGTATCAGAGTGGGAGAGAAATGTAGAGCAAAATTCAAACTCATAAATAAGACCAGACTTACTGGTCTGGTAGAGCTCTGGCCCTTAGACACCCTTCAAACCTAGAAGCGAACCCACTCCCGGAGATGAGCTTTCAGGCCCGCAAAATGAACAAGAACACCAGTAGGAGATGTGCACCTCAGGACAGTCATCTGTATGAGACTGAAAGGGCGGCATCTGCCCAAAAGCAAAGTGCAGAAGGACGGTAGGGGCGGGAAAGCTGGGCGAACGGGCCTGGGGAACCCAGGGAGGAAGTGGGGAAATTGCTGACACATTCAGGGATTCGCAGCCAATGTTACAAAACAAGCTGTGTGTAAACTGTTCAATGGGAAACGAATTTGCTCTGTAAACTTGCACCTAAACAACAATAAAATGTTCAAAGTAAATAAACTCACTAGCAGAGCCTAGTGTATAACTTTCCATATTTTTCTCTAATTGTGTAAACCCATTCAGTAAACCCAAAGTTAAGTGCTCGACCACCAGTCAAAAAGTTGGTGGTTCAAATCCACCCAGAGGTGCCCCAGAAGACAGATCTGACGACCTGCTTCTGAAAGGTCACAGCCTTGAAAACCCTATGGAGCAGTTCTGCTCTGCACATGGGGGGTCACCGTGAGTCTGAATCAACTCAACAGCAACTAACAACAATACAGACACACACATAAACATTCAGGCATTTGGGGGTTATTTTGTGAAGTGAGAAATGCTCTTCATTTTTTTTTTTCTGCATGTTGCTTTTTTTCATTAAACAATGCAAAATCTATAGCTCTAATACCACCTGCATTAAAGGAGTGGATATGCCCTCATGTAGTCAGCCATTCCCCCATGAATGACATTCAATTTTTCTAAAATCTGAGACCCAGGAAGATTATGTGAGTAATCTTGGTTATGCACTGAGTAAACCCAAGTTTGTCTGGCTCCAGGGCACGTGTCCCTAATGACTCCACACCTGCTCATCTGACACCCCAGCAAAGGTTGAGGAGAGTGAGAGTCTGGAATGGGATCCTTGTGATGATGGGGAAACCATTCAGGGTACTTGAGGTTGGAGATCTGATAAGAATGTTCTCTGCTACCAAAATCCAAAACCAAACCCACTGCCGTCGGTTCAGTTCCGACTTAAAGTGACCCTATAGGACAAAGTAGAACTGCCCCATGGTTCCCAAGGCTGTAAATCTTTACAGAATTAAACTGCCATATCTTTCTCCTGCAAAGTGGCCCTTTAATCACTGCGCCACCAGGGCTTTCCTACTGAAGGCTACCTTATTTTATGTGCATCCTTGCCCTGCTGGTCTTGTAGTTTTGTTTTTAATTTTATTGTGCTTTAGATGAAAGTTTACAGCGCAGATTAGTTTCTCATTCAAAAATTTATACACAAATTGTTCTGTGACATTGGTTGCAATCCCCGCAATTGTCAGCACTCTCCTCCTTTCCACTCTGGGTTCCCCATGTCCATTAGTTCAGTTTTCCTGTCCCTTCCTGCCTTCCCGTCTTTGCTTTTGGGCAAGTGCTGCCCATTTGGTCTGGTGTACTTGAACTAAGAAGCGCGTTCCTCACGTGTTACTGTCTGTCTTATAGGCCTGTCTAATCTTCGGTTGAAAGGTGGATTTAGGGAGTGGCTTCAGTTCTGAGCAGGGTGTCCAGCAGCCATAGTCTTGGATTTCCTTCCGTCTCTCTCAGACCAGTAAGTCTGGTCTTTTTTTTTTGTGAATTTGAATTTTGTTCCACATTTTTCTCTCATTCTGTCCAGGACCCTCTATTGTGATCTCTGTCAGAGTGCTCAGTAGTGGTAGCCAGGCACCATCTAGCTCTTCTGGGCTCAGGCTGGTGGAGGCTGTGGTTTGTGTTGTCCATTAGTTTTTTGGACTAATATTTTCCTTGTGTCTTTGTTTTTTTTCATCCTCCTTTGCTCCAGATGGGATGGGACCAATAGATGTATCTTAGATGGCCACTCGCAAGCTTTTAAGACCCCAGAAGCTACTCACCAAAGTAGGACGTAGAACGTTTTTTCTTTATGAACTATGTTATGCCGGTTGACCTAGATGTCCCGAGACCATGGTCCCCAGCCTTTAGCCCCAGTAACTCGATCCCTCAAGGTATCTGGATGTGTCTAAGAAGCTTCTATGACTTTGCCTTGGTCAGGTTGTGCTGACTTCCCGTATATTGTGTGTTCTTTCCCTTCACCAAAGTTACCACTTGTTTACTATCTAGTTAGTGATTTCCCGTCCCCACCTCTCCCCTCCCTCATAACCATCAAAGATTGTTTTTTTCTGTGTGTAAACCTTTTCTTGGGTTTTTGTGATAGTGGTCTCATACAACATTTGCCCTTTTATGATTGACTTATTTTACTCAGCATGATGCCCTCCAGTTATGTTGTGAGATATTTCACGGACTCATCATTGTTCTTTGATCATTGTGTAGTGTTCCACTGTGAGTATGTACCATAGTTTATCCATTCATCTGCTGATGGGCATTTAGGTGGTTTTCATCTGTTTGCTGTTGTGAACAATGTTGCAATGAACATGGGTGTGCATATGCCTATTCTTGTGATGGCTCTTTCTTCTCTAGAAAAGGATATATTCCTAGGAGTGGTACTTCTGTTTCTAGCTTTTTAAGGAGGTGCCATATCGTTTCCCATAGTGATTAGTCTTGTAGTTTTTGATGAACTGGTAGACAGTAATTTCCCTTGGGCATTAGAATATCGTTTTAATAGGTTTCTGGTGTTTAAATGACAAATCCTGCCATTTTGCTTTCTCTGCATTAAAGCAGTGGGCTTTGGACTTCAGCTAATAGAGAACCAGATTGATGTATTGGGTGGGTGGGGCATTACTACCGGTCCTTTGTCTTCCTGCTTTGCCATTTTAAGGGTTGGTTCACCATTTACTTCTTTTTTTCTGCCAGGTAAACAGATCCAGGTGTTAACGGGCCACCTGCAGTGGGTATACTGCTGCTCTATCTCCCCGGACTGCAGCATGCTGTGTTCTGCAGCTGGAGAGAAGTCTGTAAGTCTCAAATGCTGGGTGCCGTTTCCTCTATGGCTTTAGTTCAGGGAGACGTAGAGGTCTGGAGCAGATCAGCCCCAACTGGAGGCACTGGTGGGCCCTGGCCTCCTCCTGCAGATTCGCTTTTGATTTGCACTTCTAACGTGAACCCAGAGAGAGGAGGTATTTGAAAAAGTAGGTTTGCTCCCATCATCAGAGGGCTGTGTGCCTTTACAAAACGATAAAGGGGCATTTTTTACTTTCTTTTCCCCTTGGAGTCTAAGATTTTAAAAGTTGCAGCCCACAGTGGATCCAAATTTCCTTTGAACCTGTTACGTTCATCTAATTAAGATTTCCAATTCAAATCAGAAAATGTACAGTTACTTGTTGACCTTTGCTGTGAAATCCTGTCTGTTTAAAAAAAAAAAAAAAAAGTATTGGAAGCCCAAGAGCCATTTGGGAACAGGTTGTGTTTGAATTCTGTATTTGCATTGAGGTGTTTGCTGTGACTAATTCATGGAAGTTGAGAGTTCACTGTTTTGTACGGCCCAGTCGGTTGATCATTCGTTTGAGGTTTGGAACTCTGTGAAAGTGAGTTATCTTAAAGAAAAGAAAATGCTGTTTTTGTTTAATGATTTTCAAAAAGGCTGAAAGTGATGAGCTGGGTCAGACATAACAGTCTTTGAGCAGATTTCCATGGTTCAGTAGACACGGTGGGGGAAGGGGAGTGTAGAATGGCAAGCCAGGGTGCCACTGCTTTGTGGGGAGCCCTGGAGTTCACCTGTGGCCCCTACTTTTGGTTGTAAGTGGAGAGAAAAGGTAGCAATTGGCTTCGGTCCTCCTCAGCACATATACCCTATTTGCAAACAGGGCTCAGAAGGGGAACTCAAGAGTCTCTACAGGTACATTTTAGCTGGCAGTCTTCCTAAGGTCTGCCTGGTTTATTCTCCCTCAGAGTAAGCTCTGGAACCTCTAGGTGGTGCAAATGGTTAACACACTTGGCTGCTAATGGAAAGGTGGGAGTTCTGTGCTACTCAGATGTGCCTCAGAAGAAAGGCCTGGTGATCTACTTCTGAAAAATCAGCCACTGAGAACCCTATGGAGCACAGGTCTACTTTGACACACATGGGGTCACCAAGAGTCAGACTAGACCGGACAGCACCTGGGTTAAAGTAGGCTTCATGAGCATGTCCTTTGGTTAGCACCTCCAGAATCCACACCTGTTACTTTATTTAATCTGTGTGATAACATTTGGCAGAACTGTAGAAAGGGGGTGGCTTCACCTGGCTGTGGGACTGAAGAGGGAAATGTGGGCAGTGCCTTTTCCGCGCTTTGTTTAAGCACTTGGTTAACATCCCTAACCAGCCCCTCTTGTTCTTCACAGGTCTTCCTATGGAGCATGCGCTCCTACACGTTAATCCGGAAGCTAGAGGGCCACCAAAGCAGTGTTGTCTCTTGTGACTTCTCCCCCGACTCAGCCTTGCTCGTCACAGCTTCTTACGACACCAATGTGATCATGTGGGATCCCTATACTGGCGAGAGGCTGAGGTCACTCCAGTAAGGACTGAACTGCTTAAGACTTCCTTGTGGGGTGACTGATGAGAAACGCATCTTGGATCAGACATGTGCCTCTTAGAGAGTGTGGGGCGTGGGAAAGGACAGCTGGGGTAAAAAGATGCAGTGGGTCTGGGACTGTTACTTAAATGCTTATTCCCAGGCAGTGGTGTGCGTGTGCGTGTCCCACTGTCAGTCACAGTCTCCAAATTAGACCTCAGTGTCTTCAACTCTTCTGCTCTAGGAGGCTGTCTGTGCGTCTGTGGATTCAGCATTATGAAACTTCAAAGTGACTTTTTATTTCCATTTACTAATAACTGTACTAACAAGTTCAGAACGATCCTCTTATCAAAAACCATTATTTCCAGAATGAAGTTTTATGCTTTCACAAACTTGGTCTACTTTTTCCTTTTGTCTCTGTTGTTTTGTGAAGCAAATAATAGTTAATCTTGCAGTTATCATGTATCTTAGCCTAAAAAAGACTTTCAGTTTGTACTGTGGCATTAAGTGAGGGTTGACCTACTTTGCATAAAGAAATCAGCACAAGGAGGTGTTAGTAACCCTTCAGCCCCCTCCACAGGATGCTTGGGGCCTTCTGAAATGCTCTTTTTTCCAGTCTGCTTTATCTTTGGTTTTCCTGAGCCTTTTCATAGTTTGGTCTCCTCCCTGGAGGGGGGGTGGGGTAGGCATCACTCCACCCCTCCCATCCAGTTTCTTTCCTCCTCAGTCACACCCAGCTTGACACCCCCATGGATGACAGTGATGTCCACATCAGTTCGCTGAGATCCGTGTGCTTCTCTCCTGAAGGCTTGTACCTTGCAACGGTGGCAGATGACAGGTGAGGAGGAGAAATCTGTTTGCTCAGCCTCCGATCAAGTGCTTGCGCGTAATTGCAGCATTACCTGCACAGCCTGGCCTCAGGTCAGTTCTGGTGTAAATGTGCGTTTCTCTCTCGTCCAGACTCCTCAGGATCTGGGCCCTGGAACTGAAAACTCCCATTGCATTTGCTCCTATGACCAATGGTCTTTGCTGCACATTTTTTCCACATGGTGGAGTTATTGCCACAGGGTATGTATGTTAGTTGAACAGATGGGTAGCAGTTTCTGTTGAGTGTACCATGTAGCTTTTTAGGGAAAGAAGGCATCTAGAATTTTCTTGCCTATGAGGTAGCGTTTAAGGGCATCCAACATTATTTAAAATTCTGATATTCCATTCTGCCAATATAGTTGATCACTTCCTCTTAATGTTTAACTTAAGTGTAATTAAAGATCTACAATTCGTACCACCTAATGGGCAAGACCACAAGAGGGCATGTATATTAAGAATTTGTATGGGAAACCATTTAGGGCAAAGAGACCACCTTACAGATAACATCTATAGTTCAGTAGGTGGCACTCTTCTCTCTGTTAATGTGAATAGTCTGATTTAGGTCTGTGCTGACAGAGATAAATCGCATTGGCATCAAAGGTGTTTTGGGTTTTTAAAATGCTGTCAGCAGCTTTAATTATTCAGCACCACAGCCTTTACCTCCATTTCTACAGTCCAGGTTGCCTTTGACTCTTGGAGTCCCCTGCTATTCAAGTCAAAGTAGATGCATTCATATCCATCACAATGAAGATAGACATCCAGCGTGTCTCAGCTACTGATTTCTCTTTTGTTTCAGGACAAGAGATGGCCACGTTCAGTTCTGGACAGCTCCTAGGGTCCTGTCATCACTGAAGCACTTATGCCGGAAAGCCCTTCGAAGTTTCCTAACAACTTACCAAGTCCTAGCACTGCCAATACCCAAGAAAATGAAAGAGTTCCTCACATACAGGACTTTTTAAGCAACGCTCCATGGAGTCGTGTTTTCTTTGTAGCAGGCTAAATCTTCCTGGCAAAGGAGTAGCTGGAGTAATGGGCCAGACATCTGGTCTTGGACGGAAGTACAGCTTCTGTTTGGGATTATGAATAGAATGTAGCAAAACCAGATTCCAGTGGACGAGTCCTGGGTCTTTTTCTCTGACCTGTGAAAGGCAGTCTAGAGGCGTGGATTCCACTCCTCCGGCCACAGAGCCTCACCGTAAATCTTAAGTCCACTCATAGACAGCAATGTTGAACTCTTTCTAGTCGTTTTGATTCAAAGTGCAGTTATTGATGTTGTTCTGCTAATAAAGTAACTGGGCCTCAAGAGCCTCTCTTTAGTGGCAGAGAAGTTAATTTCCCTCAACGGGAACGTGTGACTTCTGCCTAGTACCTATCATTGTTAGGTTTCTCCAGTACAGTGGTAGCTTGTTTAAAGTTTTCTCCTGCTGTGGTCAGAGCTACTTTGATGTTGGCAAGTGCTTTCCTTCCTCTGGCTCCCCTCTGATGCACAGGACAAAGTTTTCATGGAGCCATTTGGTATAAGGTGTTAGCTTAACTAATTCCAGGTGAATCAGAAGGTGTGTTCTTGACTGGTAAAGACACTATTATTGTTTCTAACAGTGGTGTGCATGTGCAGGAGATGACAAGTTTGTGTAAGATTACAACAGGATGTATTCCTCGACTGCATGACCTTTAAAATGGCTACTGAGTTTTCAGGAGTTTGCATATTTATTTGTGTTTTCTCAACGGATGTTAAGGTACAACTGTGTTTTTCTCAATGGTATCTAAAAACCATAGTCCTTAAGTCGAACAGTTGCGAGATGTCTCTTAATTGTGCAAAGAATTGGTGTTGTCGTCACTTTAGCTGACGTTCTTGTGTGAAATCTGTCTTTGCTGCTGAACCCCATTGGACTAATGAGCCGGTCTCAACTCTATCCCCTGAACAAAAATAGCTCTTTGAAAGCACTGTTCTCCTTCAGTGGCGTATAGTTACCCAATCAAGACACCTCATTCAAACACAATCTGCCTTAGGAAATTTAATATATTTTAAATTATTTTAAAAGAAATGCAACACTGTATCCTTTGGCTTTCTTAATGGGTTCTTTCTGGAGATCAGTTAACATTACAAAATTGTTGAGAAAGTAGAGGGCCGTCCTCTGTCACCTTTGTTACTGAAGAAAAATATTTCTTTTCAAAATGAGAGGCTTTCATTGAGGGGAAAAAACAGTTAAAAACTTTTGGTTCTTTGTTTCATTTTTTTCTATTAAGAAAAAAAATCACCTCTTAGAACAAGTAATATAAGATAGCTGAGAATGAACTGAATGTTTTAGTTTATGGTTATCTTGAAATATGACATATTGTATAGCCTGAGATCCCAGATGCCTTTCTGTTGGCCTCACCTGGCCATCAGCCTTCAGACCCCTGCTGGTGCCCCGAGGGAGCAGCTCTTCTGTGTTGGAAATAGCAGACTTCTCCCTTGCTAGGGAATAATCCAATACCTTTGTAAAGAATAGCCTGCTATGGAAAGTTTCTTCTGTGATTTCAGAGACGGAGAAGACTTTAATACAAATGCAAGCTGAGTTAGCTAGCATCTTCATACCTAGCTGAGGAGAGTCACTTGTAACAACCAAACTTTTTTTTTTTTTAAATAAAGAACGTGAACATAAATGCAGCATAACTGCTGTAAAATAAGCTGCTAAACTTTTGTACAAAAATCCCAGTCCTTTCAGTTCTAGGTTTAGTCAGGCTTAATCTCACATGTCTTGCATTAAACAAGTGAGCTTTGTACAACCACTGGTACCTAATGGCGTAGCTGAAAGGCTAACTCTGTTATATTTAAATTTTTTTTTCCTTCAGTCCACACCACAACTAGGAAGCTGCTGGTAACTTTTACTTCAAGAGGAGAAATAAAAAGTCCAGTTTTTAAAATAAGAGAATTGAGTCTGTTTTATAAGAGTATAATAGTCTTTGCCAGAAATCCGTTAATACCTATTTAAAGTAGATACAGAGACAGTGCCAAGATTATATATGTGAACTGAATTTTGGAGATCTGTTTACCCAGAGTTGAAAGACACATGGACCATGTTAGATTTGAAAGCCTTACATGATGTAAACCAAGATGGGGTAGGCCAGTTTCCTGTCATGTCATCCAAGCAACTGATGGGTAGAAGCCTTAAGGCTGACAAGTTTTATTTCCTCCTGTAAAATGGGCAGTACAATAAGATAACTGTACATTAAAACTGTTTTGCACATCCCTGCTCCAAACTGCCACAAACGCAGTACTTTCTGATGTCTGCCCACCCAAGCATGGGATGGAATCTTCCAAGACCTGGGGTGACTGTGGCTTTATCCCACCGGCCCAGGGCAGCAGTTTGTCCCGTAACTGAATGCTCCGGTCTCTGGTCACTGCTGGACCCTGAGAATTGTAGCAAATGGGCCTTGGTATCTAGGCCTGTGCAACGATCAGGTCTCTGGTGACTTGAAAAGCAGCAATAAGGGAACTCAGCTGAATCTTCTCACTGGTACCAAGAGAAAGTCTGTACCTAAAAGAAATTAAACAAAAGTTAAGACTAAAGAAGACCACGAACAGTTGCATTTGACAAGAGAACAACAGGGACCAAAGACTGAAAATCTATTGAGGGAGGGGAATGGGAAAGATAAAAATTTATCGTGGACAGAAATCTTGTATGTGTCCTCCTAATATTTTCTTCCCTGCCCTCAAACATTCATTTATAAATCTGATTCAAACTGGTGAGGAAAAATATTAAAAAAAAAAAAAAGAAAAAAAATTAGTTACCAGTAGCAGTGTTCTGAACTTTAACATTTCTCTGACTGTATAGAGATGTGCAGAATTTATGTGATCAAGGATTATTTCTTTATCCACAAAATGCACTAAGAAGAATTCTAACTAGGGTTTCCTTCCTCGTAACTAAGACATTTCACCAGGAATTTTGGTTGACGTATCTGTGGTTCTGTCTACTCAGTAAAGCAGGACATTGGCAGCTCTTCTTGCCACCTTTTAAGTACCCAGGCGAATGCAAAATCCTAATATTCACAAAGTGGTGAAAAGTGACCTAATTTGTTGATGTAAAAGTCAATGACCAGCAAATGAGTGTGCCTATGTTGACATCTATTTTGAACCCAATGCTTTGTTACTTAAATGACAGCTGCCAGCTCCACTGGGGGCTAATAATAGTGTTTACTGAACGAGGCAAAGTGGAAAATTGGGTTTATGTTTACTTTTCCCCCCAATATGCTTTAGTATGCCAAAATGCCATAACAACAGCTGGATCGCTGGTCGTCCCCAAAAGACCTAGATGTCGAGAACTCAAAATCTGACCGAAATAGGCATACCAGATAACAAGAGGATGTTCCAAATCAACGTGGGCCATGCTTTGCAAGTCTAAGAGACCTCTGTCTCAGATATGAAACTGACTGGGACCTGTCCTTTGTGTTTGAGTCACTTCTTCAAGTAAGCAACTCAACACACTTCCTCGCGTGTTTCATTCAGTAATACCACCAAGAACTAGATTATACAATGTATGAGTAATTTTGACAAAGAAAACAGTTGAAACCAAGCAGGCAGAAATAAAAACCCATGACAGAAAAAAGGAAAAGAATTAAAAAATGGGGAAATCAATACTCACTCGATGTCTGCCATTTTGATCAACAAATGTATTCGAACTGAAGACGGAAAGTCAACTGAGGAAAAACAAAATAAAATGAGTGAGGTGCGTCACTCCGTCCTATTTAAAAAAAAGTCACAATTATGAGCTTAAACATCATCTAGTTAACACTGAACTTCTCTTGCGGTCTCAGGCTTATCACTGGATACCACACCTGTAAGAAAGTAAAAATGGTGTCGTTTTTCACAGTGTATCCATTCCACTTTGATTCTTCATAGGGTAGCAAAAAAAAAATTATAGCAGTTGCCAAAGAGATCATAAGAACACGGAATAGTCATCGACACTGCTTTTTTAACATTGGATTCACAGCTTGAAAGCCGAGTTCTCACTTGCTGTCCCAGTTTCAAAAACAATTGATTTTGTAAAGTCGGTTCATACTCAGCTTCCGCAATGTAAGGGGCAGAACTGGGCTTGAGTCACCCATGTTTTGGGGCAGAAGTGGACACCCCAGCCAGGCATGCAGGGCCTGCAGAGGTGCAGATAGAACCAGTCATTGATCTGATGGAGTGTCTCAGCATGGAGGGAAAAGCTTCTCCACAAGGCTCACGGTGGATCACCTGGGGAGCCTGAAGAAATACTGACGCCCAGGACACCCCCAGAGGCTGACTGAATTGCTTTGGGTGAGTCCTGTCTGCCACCCTGGCTGAGAACCGCTTCTCTGTGTAGATGACACGAGCAAGCGTGAAACTCCATGAAGACCGCCTTTGGTTTACGTGAAGACAGATCTTCCTCCTCCCTCTTTCCTTTTGGGGAAAATATTCTTCTAGAAAAGTGAATCAAAATGCATATTTTATTACTGTAAAATATAAACCCCTGGAAGGGAGAAAATGTTAGCCTTCTGGAGTTTCTTTGCACTGTACCCCCAGCAGTTCTAGAGAATTTAAAAAGAGTGGTTTTGGAACAGTTTTCAACAGTAGCAAGACAAAACTGCTATAAACGAGGGGTCAGACTTATATTTCTGCACTGTTACTTGGCTTCAGGAATGAAGCCTTGTGTTCCCTTTTAGCCACCCTTAACCCCAAGCATGCCATCTGCCCACAGCTTCCAAACTAGGGGATGATGTAAGTTACCTCTGTGCACAAACAAGTGTATCTCTGTCAGGATGTCATGCAATGCCAACCCCTTCAGTGTTTTCAACTCCATGATATCTAGAGAAGAGAGGTTAAGGCAAAGGGAATAAGTTCCAGAACAAACACACTGCCAAGAATTCTGAATACAAAATACAGCATAAAATACATATTGGGCCCTGATTCTTATTTTTCTTATGTTTTTATCTGCAGTAAGGGCATTCTGAAAGATACATCTCCTCCCAGTAGAGAACAGAGCCAACTGCATCCCCTAAGAGGCTTTATTCCACTATACCTAGTTTTTCATTTTACAGCCAAACCAGAGTGACGCTGAGCACTTTAACATGATTGCACCTTCCCTCCCACAGCCTGACTGCTTTGCTTGCATCTGTGAGTGAAGCTGCTTCAAGCCTTGCCCAGGTCACAGCCCTTCAGGAAGAACTTCAGGATGCTACAGACAAGCATCCACCCACTCCACCTCCAGATACTCAGCTCCCTTGACAAGCTGACCAATCTTTGGCCAGCAAGGTGTGGGTGCTGGCTGCAGCCTGTGCTCCCGGGCCACCCACAGACCTCGGGCACCTAGTACACTGTTAGGAGGGCACAACAAAGGATACTCCTGTAGGCTGTGGTGAAGTCTTGATTCAACATCCAGTCCAGGATGTTGGCGATGTCTGACTTGAGCGGGTGCCCCGTGCAGGTGTAGACAGTCTCCTCTGTCACCTTCCCAAAGGCCATATTGGTGCTCTGTGCAGACGGGAGAATCACAGTAGCTGTCACAGCAGGACCTAAGCTGCCAGCAAGCCAGGAGGACACTGCTGAGGCAGCAGCAGGACATGGGCACAGCTCAACTCTCACGCCATCGCTTTTACGCTGGCAAGAGCGGGCCTCAGCACAGGTACTGCTGCTTGTCGGCTATGCTGCAGCTGCAGAATCCTTAGAATCCTTCCCTATCTTTCCCTTGTTGGCAACAAATTGTTCTTTCAACTAATCAAAACACAGACGGGGAATCTTTGGCATGTTTCAAGACCAAGGTCTTATGAGTTCTGGATATCTGAATTTACACACTTGTGGTGCTGTCAGTTATGTCTTTCTGGAAAACACTATTCTGAATGGTGATTCGAGATTTGCTACAAGTAAGACTGTACCTGCAAAATGTTCAGAGCCCTTCTCATATCTCCACTGGAAAGAGTTACAAGTGCTTTCATTCCGTCTTCACTTATATCAACTCTGAAAGAAAACAGGCAGTGGGATTTAGAGACCCCTTGAGAAGGCAGACATTCACCAGGGGAACAAGATGACCTGGAATGATTAAGCAAAAATGGAGTTAACAATACTCTCTTGGTCTATACAATGTAGAATTCACTCCAGTCTGTAGGGACTTGGGCTTCATGTAAGCAATCAAAGCCCACTCAAAATCTACAAAGACCCTTCTTTACGACCAAACATTCCTCTGTTGCGGAACTAGTCTAAATTATGCTCTTGGCGAGGCAAGAGTGCTGGAAACACAGCGCCGAAGCCCTTCCTTTAAAACAAGCAGTAGCTCAGGATGGCTCCTTACTTGGCATCTAATCACACAGAATGTAATGTCTCAGAACCTTCTCTTCTAGTCAAAAAAGCAAGAGGCATCTTAGCAGAAGGGACGCGGCAGCACGCAGCTTCCAATGACAGAAGAGTAGGAGGAAATTGGGACCACTTCCAAGGGAGGAGGATAGAATCAAGAAAAATCAAAAGAAACCAAATGACTTTTATGGGGGAGGAATGTCAGTGAGACAGCAGAAAGCATGAGAACAGCTAGCAGACCCTAATGCTTTCCCTGTGCCAGGTGCTCTGCTCAGTGATCTACAAAGGCATGTAGATCAGTTAAACCAGCCAGTCACCCCATGGCCCCACTTACACTATACTCGGTCCCCAAAGCCCTCACCTTTCCTGCTTTTCAGTATACTCACTTCTCTTCTTCCACGACATGTTCCAAACGTGGGACCATCAGTTCAGGAGTCAGGGGACCGAATCGGAACCTCGTACACCGTGACTGCAAGGCGGGGATGATCTTCGACAGGTAGTTACAGATGAGGCAAAATCTGGTATTCTCAGTAAACTTCTCAATCACT